AGTAAGACCGAGAACACGTAGCAGCGAAGTAGGCGGATCCTTAATGCCAATTTTAGGTATGTGTTACATAACACCTTGGACATCCTTCTAAAAGCAGCTCTAGCCTGCTCTATTCTGGATCTAATTTCGCCGTGATTTTCTGCATTACAATTTAATTGCTGTCCAAGGTAAACGATTTTATCAACTTAATAAAGACTTTAAGACTAAGACTTTATAAAGATTGTTAAAGTTAAAAATGTTAGTTCTATAGTACTTACTTCTTTGAAAATTGTTTAAAATAAAGAAACTTAGTTCTATTGTAACATTTGCTTTTTTTCTTATTCAACAGGATATATTACATAATATTGTGGTACTGTCATTATATCGATAGACACTGTATTAAATGCCTGTCATCTCATTGACTAATTTAATGCAGATTTTTTCAAATAATGCATGAATTCGACAGCGTATGTAATTTTGTGTTTATTCTCTTCGCGATGACGTCCACGAACTGAATTCGCTTCACGTGCATCTCTTTGAATTCTCTTCAAAACGGGGGAGACAACGATGATAATAAATGTCACAAACACTCGAAACTTCACAGCTGGATTCATAAATTTGTTCATAAATATATATAATTCATTATTCCTAGAATAGTGTTACGCCTTTCTTAATACAGGATGTTTTTATGTTTTTATTTGTTATACTAAAATTTTGATCACTAGATAGTCTAAATGTATCATACCCAATAATACATAAGGACTCAACAAATAATGAATGTGTTGTACTGAAAGTGATCGATAAAATTTCAGTCTTGTGGAAAGTCCTCCTTTTACAATATTATTTACGAACAGCCAGTACTGCTTTCATTCTGTAATCGTAATCCGCAATTCCTAAGGAAATATGTTCTCTCAGATGAGGCCTTTTTTTATCCTTAACAGCTAAAGTAAATAGGCAGAACTGTAGGTACTGGGCACAAGAGAACTCTCACTGGGCACACTCAGTATCCACAGACAGTTTGAACGTGTGGGCGGGAATAGTTGGTAATAAAATTGTGGGCCCATTGTCTATTGACGGTTCATTGAACAGTGACAAGTATTTTGATCTACTTTAACAGCCAATAATTTGCGCACCTGCAGTTCTATACCCAAATCATCAAAATTCTCAGCTACCGGATAATTCGCTACAGTACCAGCAAGATGAGGCACCACCGCATTACCTACGACATGTACGTGAATACCTAAATATTTTTTTACATTGGCTTTTACAGAATTTTTACAGTGGCCAGCTAGATCTTCTGATCTGTCCCCACTAGATTTTTTCTTACGGGAATACCTTAAGTCTAAAGTTTACGTTAACAGACCTAATAGTATTGATGAACTTAAAGAGAGAATTAGGACCGAAATTAAAGTAATTAATTGATAAGAAAGATTCATGTAATATTTGTTTTGTGCCTGTTAACTGACCATGATGAAGAAGAAGCTCAGCGAGTTGTGCGAAAATGTTCCATCAAGCAAGTATTACAAGAAACTCACGATTCATCTCTCGCCGGTCATTATGGTGTAGAGCGAACCTTACAGAAAATTATACCACGATACTTTTGGATAGATATAGATATGCTCAAACATGTAACCGATTATGTCTCAAAATGTATGGAGTGTCAAAGATACAAAGCAACTAATCTGAAATCCGCTGGATTATTTTAAACCCCAGTTCAAAGTCAGCGCTTTGACACTATTGCTATCAACCTTTTTGGCCCATTGCCAGAAACGCCAAGTGAAAAAAAAGGAATGTTAATTGGTGAAGATATATCTACAAGGTAGACGGAGATGTTTTCCCTTATTTATGTGACTTCTGAGTCCTGCGTCAGAATGTGTTACGACTTGGAACTCCAAGCAAAGTCATCAGCGATAATTGATTACAGTTCATCAGGGATGTCATGCAACATATAGCTCAAGCTTTAGGATTTAGTTAGAGTCTGATTTTTGTTTATTACCCTGCTGCAAATTATGTTGAAAGCAAAAACCGTGACCAGAAAACCTATAGTATTGGCTATATTAATCTTAACTGGCCATACTTGCCAGAAATAAAAGCTACCCAGTAGCTACTGTTTGTCAGTCTACTGGTTTCACACCAGCTTATCTTTTACATTAAGCCAAGCCAAAGAAACCCATGAGAGCCAACAATATTTTGGAAAGAAATATGCTGGTAGTTAACGTGAAGATCAGACATTCCAAGGCTTCGGTTTAATATTGGTGAAAACCCATGTATTGAACAAAGCTAAAGTGAGTATAACTTGAAAGAGTTATAGGTTCATAGAGATGAAGCTTATATGATTTCCAGAGTTCTAAGTCCTACTTCATATGAAATAGTGAATCCAGATACTCCATCCGTGCCCTTAGGACTTTATCATGTCTTGACTTTATCATATCGATCAATATTTTCCGAATTATAAACGAAAATAGGAGCAAAAAATGAGAAATTTTCAATTGTTTTCAGATTTTGTTAAATAAAAAATTTAGCACAGGGTTGGCGACTGGCGCATATCGTGATTATCGATATTGGGCACATCCTGAAGGGATTCCAGCAAAAAATAACTTCCTATGGAAAATGTCCAATCCAAAACTAGAACTGACTCTCAGAGACAGAGTTAGAAACTGAGAAATAAGCTTTAAAAAGCATACAAGAGAAAACTATGGGGTTAAGCTGTCTGCAAAAACATTTAACGTTCCAAAAACGACTTTGAAAAGGCGCTTTATTAAGGAAGTATCAAAGGTGATTTGTGAGGACGAAGACCAATATTCTCCACTACTATTGAACAGGAAGTTGCTGACCATATTATTACTATGGAAACTCGTTTTTTTGGCCTGACTAGTAAAGATTTGCGAAAACTTGTATACGAAGTAGCTGAAAGAAATAATATTAGCCACAATTTTAATAAAGAAACCAGGATGGCAGGCTGGAAATGGGTCAGAGGCTTTTTAAAGCGAAATCCTCGAATATCATTACGCACTCCAGAAAATACTTCGTTGGCAAGGGCTCAAGCTTTTAATAAACCAAATATATGTGCCTATTTTACTGCATTAGCAAATATATTAGACGAGTTTCACTTTCCACCGGAAAACATTTATAATATGGACGAGTCCGGTTTGACAACTGTGCAAAAGAAATCGCAGAAAATTTATGCTAGTAAAGGTCGCAAACAAGTTGGTGCTTTAAGTAGTGCAGAGCGCGGTTTACATGTTACGGTCGTATGTGCAATGAATGCAATTGGAATATATGTTCCTCCTGCTTTGATTTTTCCTCGACAGAGAAAGAAAGATGAACTTATGATCGATGCACCTACTGGAAATATAGCCTTCGCTCAAGAAAAAGGATGGATAACTTTCGATATTTTCTATTTGTGGCTGTAACATTTTTTAAGGTATACAAAGGCTTCTAAAACCAACAAAGTTTTGTTGTTACTCGATGGCCATGGTAGTCACAAAAGTTTTGAAGATCTCCAGTTTGCAAAGGAAAACGGTATTATTATGTTTTGTTTTCCTGCTTACTGTTCTCATCACGTTCAACCCTTGGACGTAGGATTTTTTAGACCACTTCAAATTTACTACGGCCAAGAAATTCAATTATGGCTGCGACAGAATCCAGGTAAAAAGGTGACCCAATTTAAAGTAGCCAGTCTCTTTAATAGAGCGTATTTTAAAAGTGCTTTACCATCAAATGCAATCAATGCATTTAAAAAGACAGGAATACAACCATTCAATCCAGATGTCTTCGAGGATTGGCAATTTTTGCCGTCTATAACAACAGATAGAGAAAATTCTGAACAAGAATGTTCTGACCAGAAGTCACCACAGAAACATTGGAGCCAAAATGTTTCTTCGATTGAAAGTTTATCAAAAAGCCCCACTGATCAGAAATCAACATCATTGTCAGTTCTAAACATCTCTGTAGAAGATATTTGTCCTCCTCCTTTAGCTGGAGTATCTCAAGTAATGCAGAAAAGGGGTAGAAAACGGGGTAAAATAGGATATTTAAATTCAACGCCAGAAATTGAAGATATAAAACAAAAAATTGCAGACAAAGAAGCAAAAAAAGGAAACAAGACGCCAGAAAAGTGAAAAGGCAAGTTCGTGTTTCAACTACAAGTGGTTCTGAAGACGATTGTGAATGCTCTTTTGTAGAAGGCGACTCGGACGATGCAGCTTGCATCTACTGTAACAAACTATTTTCACATTCACGATCCAATGAAAAATGGATTCGTTGTCAAGTACGTAAGAATTGGTGTCACACTGAATGTGCAGATGTAAATCCTCGACATAAACAATTTGTGTGTGAATTGTGCGCGTAATTTTTTTATTCTTAAAAATACCATGTGTAATATTTTTTATCGTTTGTAATGTCTTTTGATCTAATAAAATAATTTGGTATTTAATTATTTTACTAATTATATATGCCCATGATGGACCCTTAACAGGATTTTAGTAAATTATGAATAAATTTTTAACATCACTTTTCTGCAAAATTTGAAACATTTGCCATATTGTACAAATAACGAGACGTTATGTGGTCATATAAAGTCTGCTAAGTAAATAATTAAAATTATTATGAAGCTATTTTCTTAAGGGGACCATCATAGGCACATTTCCCCTATATAAAAGAACAAGAAGACGAATATACCAACTACGTCTTGTTTTAAGCGTATATACTTTTTGAGTTTGCCCTGTATATTAAATGTTAATAAAAATTACAAACAGCGCCTGTATTATTAAGCTAATCAGAATATAAAGGCGATATACATTTTCAATGCCGAATTAAAAACATATTTTTAACCCCTTGTCAGTTACATCGTTACGACATCAAATCTGCAAGGGTGATATAATTAGTAAACAGGTAACCAACAGTGGATGACAGTTCCTAAGTACATGCGTATTGGAAATATCAAATCAAATCCATCTCCCGCTTTAACTAGCCGATATAAACTGCCAACATAAAAGAACTCGATGTATATTTCAACGTTTCTCTCACTAGTCAAGAACATTTTAAACTAATTAGCATTTTCTTTTAATAATAACTATGTACGCGGTGATCCGAATGGAATTAAGTGTGTAAATTGTGTGCGGCGTTTTTTTAGAAATATTTCGAGATGGTGGCTCGTAATTTCGCGGTGCAAGACGTTTCGAATTCTCGTCTTCTTCAGGAACCCGACGATGACGACAACGGTTTTATTACTTTGCAGGAACTTAAGCCGGTCATCGTGCAACAAAGCATGCAGTCGTACCAGCGCAGTTACTACGAACTGCCCAATATGATAGAGTGAGTACCATCTACTATTTAATTAACCTTTCTACTCTCCCGAAGTAAATGTTACACTCTTTGTCTATGGGTACGGGTGGACCCAGTGGATAAAACTCATACCTGTTGTGAATTAAATTTCAATTTTTTTGATTAATTCGTAGAAGCTTTTGTAGTTTCATTTTATCGATGTATCAAAACAAAAAACATTTTTTTTGTAATAAAAAATATAAAACTTTATATTTAATTAAAATTATATATTTATTTAATGCAACTTTTACAAAAGATATTTGAATGATCAGGACAAATAAACCTCTTACAGGTTTGACATCTTGTACGAGATTTTTTGTCTTTTTCCCATCTGCAGTCTTTACACCTTCCACGTTTTGGACTTTCATTTGCATTTCCACTTATTCCAGCTACTGCATGTAAATTTATTTTGGATTTTTGATGTATATATAACACATATGCGTTAATTACCGCCAAATCTAAAATATTATAAAATAAGCAAAGTGATCACATTCTAATTCCTCTTTTGCAGGTATAAGCTGATGCTAATTTATCTATTGTATCTACACTTTGGTTCTATTGTATTCTAAAATAATATCTGGCTTCTTATGTTCTTGCAATGACACCTTGTCATCTACATGCATCGAGGACAAAAGAATAACAGATTTACCCTTTTTAAGACTATATGAAACTAAAGTCATCTTCTTATAAAACCCAAAAATTAATGATAGGAGGCTGCTTTACTTTTATTTGGTAGAAATTCAACTGGAATAAAAATTTTGTTCTTTCGTACTCTTCCAATTAGTGTTAGTTTACGTTTTAATAATTCAGCCGCTAAATGGTAGTCAGTAAAAAAATTATCCGTGGTTATGTTTCGCCCACAATTCTGAACATCTTTTATAAGTCGTAAAACCACATTTCTGCCCTGATGTACGTCACGGGGCCGATTTTCTGCTTTTCCTGTATACACTTCTGCTGCACAATACACATACGCAGTTTTGACATCAGATAAAAGCCATAATTTAATTCCATATTTCCCACGTGGTTTTGTTGGAATATACTGTCTAAAGGGACACTTACCTCTAAATGGTACAAGCTGTTCGTCGACAATGAGGCTTTCATATTATGGAACAAACATTTTGGGAAGTTGTGCTACAAATAAATCAAAAAAACTTCTAATTGGAGCTAACTTGTCGTGCCTCCGTCGAATAGGTATATCCTCTTTATTATCAAATCGCAAAAAGCGGCTGATGTTATAAAATCATTTCAGAGACATAGTAGCTCCAAAAATGGGTCCACCATCAGAATTGCTTCAAAGTTCCTGCAGAGGTTCTCCGGCACCTTTATGAACACTAGCCAGAAGAAGTAAACCTTGAACAAAAATGCAAAATTTCAAATTTATTTTATTATAACTGTAATGAAAGTATTTACCTATAAAAGCTTCTACCTCTTCCAGTGATATTTCTTTTACAGTTAACATTTTTTCATTACATATGCGACCACGTTCTCTGTTAGTTTCCACTAAGAGTAAATTGAGCATTTCATCGGTGAAAAACAATATCATTGAAGATATAGGCTGGCACAGGATTTAGTATATTGATAGATCTAAACAATATACAACGCAATTAGTAATACCCACAAATTTAGTAAGAAAATATGTGTAGCACTTGAGCCACTACTTACCTTACGCATGACTCAGGTGGTGGGTATTTGTTCCAAACTGTCCCATCGCGAGCAGTATATTTACAATATACTGCTCTTGTTCAGGGAATTCTATTTCATTTACCGAATTTTTTTCGCTTTCATCTTTGTCATCATCAACCGTAGATACATGATCTTCTTCAGAAAATTCTTCATCTACTAAGTGAAGGTTTCTAAATTGATAGATTCATCTTCATTTTCTGACTCTTCTTCAAGGATTTTTCGTAATTCCTCTTCCGTGAGTCCTTTCCTGGAGCTCATTTGTCAGCAAGCGCGTATTTTTCTGTTTTTCACAAATGATTGTATACCACACTCTCAACTCTAAACTTCAAGCGATCAAGTCTGGTACAACACTAAAGATATTCGACAAACGCTTCCGAAAATAGAACCCATAAAATCTAATCACCCTTCTAAGAAAAATAAACAAAACAAACATCACGTACATTTGGAAACACTTCTGGGTACAGGTGGACCCATAAACAACAGATGAATTTCTTTTATTAAAAAAACCAATCAATGATCCATCACGTCTCAAATAAACATTTGAATTTTACTACTGGGCCCAGGCATACCCAGAGGCAATACAAAGATTAATGGATCAAACGGACATTTCAAAATCTATTTTATATTATTTTGTATAAAACAAACATTTTTTCCTTATTTCAATTGATTTACTTTCGATGTAGTCATGAAAAATTTGGATGTGAGAGATGGATTCGGATTTTTGGAGAAATAGTTAAGTGATAATTTCAGTACTTTTAACAATTGACTTATCCCTCCTCTTAAATGGGTCGAAAACATTAATAAAAAAATTAAAATATTTAAAAATTACTAAAAACATCGATTTTTTTTTACTTTCTTTAAAAGTAAAAAGTAAAATTTCTTTATTGATACTTTATTTTCGATATCTATGTGGATTTTTATTTGGTTTTGCAATTGCCAATATTGGCGAGACATCATTTAAATTGTGAAACGCAGTGACGTGCTATCGGGATGCTTCAAGCTGGTCACAGAGGCGTTGCTGAGATCCTCTACACGAACAAAAGTGTCATCAATCGTTTGTGGTTAAGATGTCAACAAACCAATGATATTGCTGAATGTCAAACAGACCGTACAAGGAAAACCAACGCCCAACACCAAGGTGGCAGGCTTTGCGAGATCGTAAACTGCATCACAATTATAAATGAGGCTGCAAGAGACCCAACAGGTATTTGTAAGTGGCCAAATCATTAGAAACAGACTGCATGAAGTAGGGTAAAATGCTCGAAAACCTGTGAGAGTGGCTGTGTTATCCAGAGAAAATCAGGCTCATCGACTTCAGTGAGCACAAGAACACGCAAATTGGGTTAGACATGTGTGGGCCTCTACTTTGTTCAAAAATGAGTCCCGATTTGGATTTCCACCAGTTACAAGACGGACAAGAATTTGGAGACGATCTGGTAATACTGAACGATTGTCCACCGTACAGGAGGTTCATAGACAGCAAAGCGGCGGTATAATGGTATGGAGTGGCATCACTTAAGCTGGAAGTACCAATCTCGTTTGTCTGGAACGGTTTCTAAATGCAACAGACTACCGCGATATTATTCTTGAACCTATTGTTGTACCCTTTGCACAACAAGCTGATCCCCAATTTCATTTAATGCAGGACAATACTCGTCTGCATACTGCCAAAGTCGTGTGAACATTTGCCTTCCAGATGTAAAACAGTAATCAACAACCGTGGAGGTCATACACTATACTTACTTTACCTAAAGACTACTGTGTTGAGGAGCAATAAATTAGTTTTTTTTGTGACTATTTTTTGACTTCTATTGGAGTTCTTTATCTATCTCTTTTAATTTTCTAAAGAGTTATTGCGATAATTCTAAGAAAATGTTTATTGTATATTCGGGACACTTGTTTATAACTTTTCATTAAAAATATTTCAAATTCTTCTGTAATCTCGCATTTTGTTTTTGTCTTCTAGATTATTTTGATGTTGAATTATTATTTTTTGTTTAATTATTGTGTGGATATAATAGCATTAAATGCGCGAAAAGGAAAAATTATAAGGAGCTATGGCAATAGTTAAATTATTTTATAAAATTTACTTCTAGGTAGAGTGGTAGCGGTAGAGTGATTAAATTGATAATTTTTCGACTGTTCTAACAACCATTCAAATTTCGTCATTTTGTGTCATGTGGAACAATTTCACCCAATCATGTCAACATTAGACTGATAATTGCATTCAGTGCAATTTTCAATCCCTATGACAACACGATCGAGTTTGACAACTTCAATCAAATAAATTTCAAAATGTCACGTCCATACTTGAATCTCGATCAAGAACACCACAACAAGATTATAAATATTATGCGTGGTAATAGATATTCTATAGTAGAGAACAGCAACGAATCTAATGTTAACTTAAATTTTAATAACTGTACTTTTAATAAATAAATGTTTCGTTATGTTGAATTGTGATTTTTTTTTCGAAAAATTATCCGCCGAATATCCCTCGGACATTGATGAATGCCTCATAATTTTATGACAAATTTCTCAAGCTCGTTGCTTGGTAACAGCACTCAGCCTTCGGCTTCGTGCTGTTACCAAGGAACGAGCTTTCGATTGTCATGAAATTATCTCGTCTGTTATCAATGTCGTAGGGATATTACTACTGATAATAAAATAAATATATACTTAAAATATAATTCTTGTTTCAGTGATCCCTGTTCTTCAAGCCTGTCGTTCCAATCCAATCAAAACTCGTCATCGGCAATAGACGACAATAGTTCCGTATCCTGTTCAAACAACAGAAAAAGAAAAACTTATTTTCCGTAAGCACTATATTTTTTATTATATTTGTATATATTAGGTATTAAATAACGATAACCGATAATCAGTCATTTTTAATATTACTTGTAATTTTTAGTGTTTCAATCCATGATATATGAGTATATCAGTGAATATTCATTATACTTACACGTTATTTAACATCTAAGATGTGACTCTAAGCCACTAAATACATCACGGTTCTAAACAGATTTGTTCCCAGTAGCGGTCATAGAATGGGTAAAATAAAAATAGCTTAAAGACGGAAGCTTTAAGATGATTAAAAATGTTAAAAACTAAAATCATGGATGAAACCACCAGATGTAGATAGTTTTAAGCAATGTATTTCCGACATACTTAGTAGTTCTGAAACAGAAAATAATATAAACGACTTAAATAAATTAACGCAATGTATTTCCAGCTCAAAACAAATTCTGTCCTAGAACTCAAAAAAAAAAGAAGATTGGCCAAAATACTAGGCAACTAATGCAGAAAAGAAGGAAAATGAGAAGCGAGACGAAAACTAAAAGCCTACGAACTACAAAAATTAAATAAAGAAATATCCAAAGCTGTTAGACAAGACACTAGAAAATTCAACCAAGAATAAATTGACCATACCATTGGGAACAATAGAAGTATGAAAGTATTGAGAAAAAGACTAAGAACGGAGACAAGGCAGATCATAAAGATTAAAGATAGAAATGGTCATCTTACAACCAACAAAGAGGAAACCCTTAAAATAGTTGAAGATTTCTACAAATTGCTATACACAAGCTAACACAAAGCAAATAGCAGAGAAGATCAAGTACCAAAAATATTAACAACGAAAAGAGCATTGTCAACCAAGGATCAGAACTACTACCAAAAATTACAATAGACTAAATAAAACTAAATGAATGAGACGACGGGGTAGACCAAAGCTGAGGTGGATGGATGGGGTAACACAAGATGCGGAGAAGATCGGATTCGGCAACTGGAAAATTCAAGCAAGGGACAGAACAGAATGGCGTAGAAAGCTTGAGAAGGTCGAGGCCCTCTAAGGGCTGTAGCACCAAGATGATGATGATGATGATGAAATAAAACTAACCCTAAGAATAGCTAAGAATAGCAAATCTCCTGGTGAAGGTTGTGTATTTACTGATGCAATCAAAATCGGAGGCACTTGTTTACTTAAGTAAATAAAAACCTTTTTACTATGCACGTGTGGCGAAGTAATACCTAAAATACCTAAATAATGTATTTTCCAGAAGATGGATTGGAAGTCGTGGTTTTATCCAATGGCCCCCACGACCACCCGACATGAATCTTTTAGAACATTTTCTGTGGAGTCACTAAAAATCATCATTTTTAAAATAAAGTTGTGTTCATAATTTCCTAAAAAGTGCATATTATGTTTATAGCTGCTGTAAATAAATTAAACCGTAAATAAATAAATTTTCTATGTACACCAGATAAAATGCCAGTGAATCGCACTGGTTCCGACTAAAACATGGCTGATTCCTTCTGCGCGAACGAAATGCGCATATAATCCATTCGCTTAGCTGGGGCATATTTTGACAGATTCATTGTCGGAAACCTACAACACAACAATTCCTACTTCTCAGTATTAATAGCTTAAGTATACTACTATTGCAGACTTCTTTCTTTGAAAAAAGAGGAATTATTCTAAATGGTGGAAGTGCATACTAAACCCATCAAATTTTGGGTAGAACCTATATATTTAAAAAGTTTATTTAATTTGTTATAATTTACCATAACTATCTATTATATGGTGCAGATAAATAAATATTGTCTGTCGGTAATTCGCAAAGTTCTATTTTATAGTAAGTTCTATTTTTAAGTAAAATAATTACTAAATTCACTAGACAGTTCGGACTGGGAATAGCGAACCGAGTATACTTATTTTTTCAAGCAGAGTGGGCATTCTGATTGTTTATTATTCTGTGCCAAAATCAATATTATTCCGCTTTTTCAATTTTTAAAATTTCGCAAGAAGACATGACTATCCTCGTTCTGAGTAAAGGCAATATTTTTTTCTGCAGTTTTAAGTACTATAGAACAAAAGGATACCCTCAAATTTCAAAGGTTCGAAGATGATGACCTCAAATTTCAAAATCAATATTTTTAGCATCAAAAAAGTGGATATTTTCTTTGGAATTCGACATATATATTATATTGACACATGTATAACCTATATCGAATAACAAAAGACAATTTTAAATTGTTTTCCTTGCCTCTACGTCGATATTTCCCGCTCAATTTCTCTTTACATGGCATTGGTAAACTACTTTAAATGGCCATACACACAGTCGGCGAATCAGTAGTAGTGCCTCTTTGGTAACTATCAAGCAATTAGTCTTGGAAACAAACATCTAAGATGGATAATGAGTCACGTTCCCATTCGATTAACTCCCAATAATTAACTTTTCAAACTTGGCTGGCACACTTGTTGGAGTTCTAGCTATTATAACTCTAGATGTAATTATTAGGTGGGATCATAAGTTAATCAGAAAAAAACTTAACAGTCGTAGAGAGTTTCAGGTGCTTCTGAAACTCCTTTGATAAGTTTGCAATTGCTGAAAAATGTTTTTCATACAATTGACAAATGCGTTTCCTTTAGTTGCTTTTAAGTATTAGGTATACATTTTTTATAAAGGGTGATTTATTAAGAGTGTCTAATTTCTGAGTTTTAGATTCCAGATACCGGGCATTTAAAGTTTAAATATGGATTTTAATTTTCGAAATGTAGTCCAGAAAAGGTTTTCACCTCGCAATTTGGTTAGAAAAGATTGATTTACTTAAAAATTTGGGAGTAACTAGTGGATAGTCCAACAATCAAAATCTATATGATGCCGAAAGAAGCTTTTACCATGGGGGTAATTGCCACCCCATCTCGGGGGTGGTAATTTTTTATTATATTTTGACCACAAAAATTAATTTCAAGCAAAAATGTTGCATTATTTTTTTTTTATATAAAATTAATAGTTTTCGATTTATTCGTTATCGAAAGTATGAGTTTTACATCGAAAAAATCAATGTTTTAATCAGATTTCTGCTAATAACTCAAAAATTATTCGTTTTTTCAAAAATACTCTAATTAATAAAAATGTAATTTATGAAATAATAAACAAATATAATAATAATATAAATAAAATATAATAATAATAAATAAATAATAATAAGAAAAAACTGCATGAAAGACGCAGTTTTGGAAGCCTTAGGGCCACAGGTACGGAGAGTGGATAAACCATATTAGTGGGATAAAGAAGTGGAAGAAAAGATAAAAACAAAGAAGGAAGTAAATTGCTATTTAACTGAGAATAAGCCACAATTAAAGATAAAAATACGTTTATTGACGTTTTAATTTCCATTTCGGAAATCGTTCTCAAAATACAAACAGTAAATTAAACAATTTTTGTTTTTTGTTACATAGTGAAAAATTCTTCTAATAATTTAATTTTATCTGACTCATTTATATTGGCAATTCAGACATACATTATGCATTTTAAAGTAGACGACTTTAAAATGATATTGCCAATATTGTTGAGTTGCGCTCCTGGGACGACTTTACTTATAAGACAGTTCATTCGATTACATGAAATTAACTTTAACTTGAGAATATCCGTTAGAAAAAAATCATAGCATGTAATTCGTCTTTAAAAAGACAAACACATGACATAATGACAGTAAAATTCTCCTGTTAGTGATTCCATAGTAAATTATGAGGGAAAACCAGGAAAAAAAACCTCATAATACTATCCCGACATGGTAAGTATTTGTTCGTGCAATTAGTTTACCTTCAATAAACACCAAAATTCTGATTTTATATGTTTCGTTATTTAAAAAACATAAATGATGTATCCTCTATATGTTACTGACTTACTAATACTGGTATTTTCTTATTAATAACTTCCTCTTTCAATATTGGTAACCAGATCCTACTACATTCTGCCGAGGAATTTGCGACACAATTGGCCTCATTTAGCATAATTAAAGCCGCTTCTTTGATTTTTCTTTTTTACCATCCGTCTCTTTTAGGACTACATTTGAATTATTCCATTGAACCCTATGTTCATTATCCCATGCGTGTTTACATATTTGAGATCTATCAAATTCTCTATTTTTAATATAAGATTGATGTTCACTTATTCTAACATTTAATGGCCTTGATGTTTCACCTAAATAAAACTGATCGCATTCACAAGGTATTTTATAAATGCAATTCTTTGTCCTTTCTTGTTCATCGTTAGGTTTGGTTTTGGACAAAATAGATCTCAACGTGTTGTTTTGAATGTTGAAAAAAGATAACTTACATAAATTTATTTAATAACCCTTAAATAAATTATTCTGAGATAATTCGTCTTAGTCTTATTGTATCTAAAATAGCCAACCCGAGATATCTCGTTTTGAGGTATTTAGTGGGAAACGACGTCAATGTGTAAACAACACGTGCTGCCCCCGGTTGTGTATACTTAAAGACATTTTATGAAATTAAATCGTTATTTTATTCGCCATGAATTCTAGCCAGGGTAATGAAGATTCAGATGACAGTTTTGAGCTAGATGTATCCGGGACATCGGTACACAAGTAGAAATAACTTTGCCTGAAATGGATGAAAACACCCAAGAGCCGCCCCCCACCGAAGAAGAAATTAGAGAATTATATATCGTTTACCTGTACTACGGCTTTCTGTTTCCAGTATATAACCTTAATAAACTCAATGTCTTTTTTGTCTAAATTGATGTTTTTTAATTCATTTATTAACTTCATATGCTGCACTCGGTCACTGGCCTTCCTAAAGTCTATTAAGCATACATATGCACTCTTGTTATATTTCCGACATTTCTGCAAGAGTACCATCAACGCAAATAATGCCTCTCTTGTACCCATGCCTCCTCTGAAGCCAAATTGCGTTTGATCTATCTGCTAATCATATTTCTTATAAATTCGGTTTTAAACAATTTTCAAGAGAATCTTTAGAAGGTGGCACATTGGGCTTTTCAATCTATAGTTATTACATGATTTGGGATTTTTGTTTTTGGTAGAGGTAAAAATATCGATTTAAGCCATTCCTCCGGGATGTTGCCTTCTACATATAATATGTGGTTGAGAAATCGGATGAGTCTCTTTATATTACCGTCATCTAAGGCTTTTAATAGTTCAACTGGGATTTGATCAGGACCCGGTGCATTTTCTTGTTTTACATTCTGTAGGACATGCTTTACTTCTGAGGGTAAAATTTGTAGGTATTCCTTCACCTATATCTTGTTCATTTTCCCTCTCTTCATGGTACAGATGGATTATATATTGTTCCCATAATTCCTTTATTTTGCTCTTTTCAGTAAGTATTCCCTCTTGCTATGAATGTTCTTCTTTGTCTGGTGTTGTCTGTAAGTTCTTTCATTTTTTTATGTAAGTTTGAGGTATCATGTTTGTTGCTGAATTCTTCCAGTTCCTGGCATTCCTTGTTCATCCATTCCTCCTTAGCCTTTCTGATTTCATATTTGATTTGATTCTTGATGGTTTTATATTTATTTTCATCTTTATTTTTGTATTTTCTTTTTTCAGTTATTAGCTCAACTATTTTTGGTGTCATCCAGTGTTTTTACGGGTTTTCTCTTCTTCGCCTAGGACCTTTTTTCCCGCTTTTAGTATGGCTTTTTTCATATCTGCCCATTTCACGCTTCCTTCAGTTAATTTATTTATCTCTGCATTTACTAGCTGTTGGCAGTTGTGGTCTTTTAGGCTTTTGATGTTTATTTCTGTAATTTTAACTTTTTTCTCCGGTTTTCTGAGTTTAATGTTGACGTTTGCTAGTAATAGATTATGGTCCATATCTGCATCTGCGCTTGGTTAGGTTTTTCTACTTTGTACTCTATTACGAAACCTTTTGTTAATCATTATAAAATCTATTTGTTTCTGATTATATTGTTGGTTTTGTTCTGAAGCTAGTTTCTTGTGGCATTTTAAATTAATTACTATTTAACTGGGAATAAGCCACAATTAAAGATAAAAATACGTTTATTGACGTTTCAATTTCCACTTCGGAAATCGTTCTTAATAAACGTATTTGTAAATTTAATTGTGGCTTATTCCCAGTTAAATAGTAATAAATTTATATTGTTGGTGTTATCATTTGGAGAAGTCCACGTGTACAATCTTCGTGAGGGTAGGTCGTAGTATGTAGTTTTATATTAAAAATTTAAAAAAATACAGTAGGTATTATATGTTTTCAGGGTCGACAATGATATTAAAGATGATTGCGGTGAAGATAACAAATCTATCAAATCCAACGATGAAAACAAAAAGTAAGTACCATCATGAATAAAATATTTAAATTGCTAAAAGTTTAGCCTTTTTTATTCTTCTTTATTTGAAGCAAATTCGTCAAAAACTAATAAAATTAAATTTTTTAAAATTCATTTTAAACTTATAATCATAGGTTTTAAAATGAGGTGCTTTACATTCTTGTACTTTGAGCAAAAGCAAAGTTATAAGCAAAAATGTCTAATACAGTCTCTGTAATAGTCCTTACCCGGAAATCCGAACGGAAATTTGCTTCTTGAACATTTTGCTTACGTACTTACTCATCCAATATAATTTGTGTTATGTTGGAGTAATTAGAAATGTAATTAGAAACCAGATAGATTATATATTGGTAAATAGAAGATTCAGAAATAGTTTTAAATCTGTCAAAACATATCCAGGAGCGGACATTGAATCTGACCACATACCTTTAGTGGGAGTCATGGATGTGAGACGGAAGACAATAAAGAAAAAGTCTAGATCTAACTACGACATGACAGCCCTGCAACATCCGGAAGTTAAAAAGCAAGTGGGTGAATATATTAACAACCAAGTTAAACAACTAAAAGAAGAAAATAACATCCAACGAGAAATCAATCAATTCGAAGAAATAATTAAAAAAACTAAACAAGATCTGCTAAAACCAAACAAAAAACAAAGAAGATCTTGGATGACTCCAGAAATCCTTCACTTAATGGAACGCAGAAGGTTAATTAAAGGAAATAAAGATGAGTATAAAAAAATGGAGGCTTACATCAGAAGAAAAATAAGAGAAGCTAAAGAAAAAGAAGCTGTAGAGAAATGTAAAGAAATAGAAAGACTACAAGCCAAGCATGACAATTTTAATGTACACAAAAAGGTCAAAGAAATAACGGGTACTTTTAAAAAGCGAACACAAATGAAACTCATAGACACCAATGGAAAATTAATCATTGACACCCAAGAGATGAAAGACAAATGGAGAATATATTTGGAGACACTTTTTCAAGATCAAAGAACGGATTATAGGCATCCATTTTCAGAGAGGATGACGGGCCCGGACATACTTAAATCCGAGGTAGAAGAAGCAATAAAACGGATGAAAAGCAGGAAAGCTGTAGGGCCTGATAATATCGAAGCTGAATTTTTAAAACTCTTGGAGGAAGAAGGAATAAATTGGATCACGGCTGTCTTCAATAAAATATACAATACAGGAATCATCCCTGATAAATGGCTAGAATCAGAATTCATAGCGATACCTAAAAAACAGGGGGCTAAAAAGTGCGAAGAATATCGAACAATCAGCCTAATGAGCCACATGTTGAAACTGTTTCTTAGAGTCATCCATGGAAGAATTTATAAGAAGTGCGAGGAACAAATATCGGACAGACAGTTCGGCTTCATTAACGCAGTGGGTACCAGAGAGGCACTTTTCGGAGTACAGGTACTGATTCAAAGATGCAGGGACGTTAACTGCGACGTATACGCGTGCTTGATCGACTATGAAAAGGCATTTGACAGAGTTCAACATCAAAAGATGATAAACATTTTAAAAGAGGCAGACCTGGATGACAAAGACCTCAGAATAATTTCAGAACTCTACTGGAATCAGACCGCATACATGAAAATTAACGGAGAAGAAACAGATCACATAAAAATACTACGTGGAGTTAGACAGGGATGTATCCTATCGCCGTTGATATTTAATATGTACTCAGAGAAAATTTTTAACGAGGCTCTTTACGGAATAGACGAAGGCATCCTTCTAAATGGTGAAAGAGTAAACAATGTTAGATATGCCGACGACACCATGGTGATAGCAGATAGTTTAGAGGGACTTCAGAGGCTAATGGACAGAATAAACGAGTACAGTCAACAGTACGGACTAAACATTAATACCCACAAAACGAAACAAATGATTATCAGCAAGGAGAATATAAACGGGGCTCATCTATACATTAATGGGACGCAGATAGAGCGAGTAAAACAGTATTGCTACCTGGGAACTATTATAAACGAACAGTGGAGCAATGTACAGGAAATAAAGTGCCGCATAGGAAAGGCAAGAACGGTCTTTAACAAAATGAGCGCCATCTTCAAAAGTCACAACATATCCCTAGATACAAAAATGAGACATTTGAGATGCTATGTTTTCTCTGTGTTGTTGTACGGGGCGGAGGCATGGACGCTTACAGACACCACTATTAAAAAACTTGAAGCATTTGAGATGTGGCTTTATAGAAGAATGCTGAGAATATCATGGACAGCAAGGATCACGAACAAGGAAGTTCTAGGAAAAATGAAGAAGGAACCAGAGATTGTGTTTACGATCAAACGCATAAAATTGCAATATCTGGGACACGTTATGAGAAATCAGCACCGTTACTCCTGCTGCAGTCTATATTGCAAGGTAAAGTCAAAGGTAAGCGAGGACCCGGTAGAAGGAGAATATCATGGCTGCGGAATTTAAGAACATGGTTTAAGAAAACCTCAACGGAGCTGTTTCGAGCCGCAGCGAGCAAGGTTATGATTGCCAATATGATAAATTGAGGAACCAGAAGAAGAAGAAGAAGATGTTAGAGTATTGAAAACGGTATTTTTATTATTATGGAGCAAAGTATAAAGTATGGAATAAAGTGTTAAAAAGGAAAGAACTTCTAATATATAATTTTAAGTTCCAATTTCTTTTTGTTCTGTATTGTCAGCTATGTCGATATAAAATTATCAGTAGGTAATGGAAAATTGTTTATAGCAAATTAACCTGTTTGATACCGATCGAAAAACCTTTTAAATGTACTAATAAATAGTTATATTAGCTGCAACTTGTTGTGTTAACATTAAACTTGTAGTTTCAATGACACTGCGCCTGTTTTGTAGGCGTGAATGCAAAAATGCATTCGTGACATTTCAAAACGGCCTAGAAAATGGAATTTTTACACAGCCACACTATGTAGTTGGGTAGATCACGTATGTTCGGTTCAAATGCAGGCCACCTTGAACCCGCTAGGGCTTCTTTCGTTACGTCATTTTCAATAAATATAAGCGTAATATGTTTTGAATTGTTCGAATGTATATATTGATGTTGGTTAAGCTGATTAAACGATCAGAATAGAAGTAATATCTTAATTATGTTAAGGCGTGGAAATTAACGTAAACACAGTTATATTATTAGATGCCGTATCTTAAGTTTTTATTCAAGCTTCTTGCTATCAATTAGTCAATAAGTCTGGTATCTAACTAATAAAATTTAATAGACAACGTGAAAAGTTCGGGTTTGTGCAGAAAAATATTCCCATGAAATTTTTTGCATAATAACTTTCATAATAAAACCCAAAGATAGATTTTTTTAATGGCATAGACATTGGACATTCGGCCAGTAGCAATAGATTCTCTAATCAGCGTAATCTATAATAGATCGTATATAAGCTCTGTAAAACAATAAAGATGTTTCAACATCGCAACCTCACCACAATTTAGTTGTCATTCTAAGAAAATTACTACCTTTGTTGCATCTATCCAGCATATATTGTATGTGTTATTTCCAAGTCAATTTTTTATCCAGGATAAAGCCTAGGTATTTGACATGGTTTTTAAATGTAAAAGATTGATTATTAAGAAGTATATTTTGATTTAGAGAAAGGGTGTCTTGTAAAGTTAAATACCTACTGCTGATTTGCCAATTGATAAATTTAAGCCGTTCTCCAAGTACTATTGGAAAAGAGAACTACATACTCTGCTTAGGTTTTGCATACCGTTTTCATATTTCTGACTTTGTGTATAGACACAAAAGTCATCTTCATATTGTATTATTTTGAATGGGATGTTGTTTATTTGCATATTATGTATGTCAAAGGTGTACATTTTAAATAAAATTGGCGATAATACCGATCCTTGTGGTATGCCGTGATAGTTCTGTCGAGGTCCTATTAGTTTCTTACTATGGTTTCTGACGTAGATTACCCTGTCTGTATAGAAACCGATAATTGTGTTAACGAAAGCAATTGGCAAATTAAAGAAATTTACCATTTTGAATTTCAAGATTGACGAACAAACTGATTCATATGCTCCTTCAATATCCAAGAATAGGGCTGTTGCATAGTTGTTATTCTGTACATCTACAACAAGTGTTGTTAAAGCGTCTAGAGTTCCAAAACCTCTTTTGTAGCCAAACTGGTTTACTAGGAAAAAATTCTCTTTTTGTTTCCACCAATCTAATCTAAGTTTTATAAGCCTTTCTAGGGTTTTGAATACGCAAGAGAGTAAGGATATTGATGTATATGAACTTACAATATTTGGATCCTTTAGGGGTTTAAGTTCTTCATTATTATTAAATTGTTTATTTTCCAACTTTTGATTTAATCTATTTCTGTAAAATTTTCTCACGCTTTTTTGTTCTAAGCTGATTAGGTTATACCTCTTCTGTATTACTTTCTCCCTTTCATTTTCTTCTTTTTTTCTTTAGATTTATTTACTCCAAATGTGATCTTAGCTTTTAATAAGTGATGATCGCTTCCACAGCTCCTCTCAATACTCTTAAAACTTGTACAATCATATTTGTCATTTGTCGTATGATTGTGTAGTCTATGATTGATTTTAACCCTTTCGTATTTTGTGTCCATGTGTGTTTGTGTATGTCTCTGTGTTGAAAAAATTCATTTGCAATTTCATTTCATTTTGTTCCCATAATGATATTAGTTTGGTACCATTATCATTTACGTTTTCCTCTCCAAATTGACCTATAACTGCGTTATGGTTTTTTTTACAGTTCTGCTGGTTCTGTTTTACTAACTTTATATATAAACAATTTTAAAATATTCGTTTTGCTCTTTTGTATATAACTATAACATTAAACACATTCCATTATAATTTTTCCGTTTACTTTGTCTTGGCAGTTATAATAAAAATATCTTCACACATTCACCATTTATAACAACCGATTAAGTATTTAATTAAAGCATTAACGGCGACATTTATTAAAAATATTGTTAACATAACAATATTACATTATCTTATGTTGTAATAG